GTCATCTTCCTCATCGGCATCATCGTGGCCAATGTCCCTGAGGGGCTGCTGGCCACTGTCACGGTGAGTGGCCAGGGCAGAGGGTGGCCTCAGGGCAGACAAGCCACTAGTGTCTCTGCCACTGACCAATCTCTCAAGCCCAGCACGCCCCTGACATATATACAGATGTCAAAGCATTTAGCTTCCATATTACTTTCACTCGCCCCCCGCCATGTTTCCTGGTGCCTTCTTTCCTTCTCAGTGAGAAAGGACGTGAGTTGCATTGCAGAAAAACCATGAGATTATACATCTCGGGGAGTGAATTCCAGTCCTAGCTGGTGAACCTGTCCAAACACTCTCTTCCAGGCCTCCATGTATTGCTCTGTTTATAAAGGGAGATTAGTTTAGAATCATGGAATCGTGTTGGAATGGACTCCAAAGCCCATCAAAATCCAACTTTCCGGTCAGGGCTGACTGTCTTACACAAAGTCTGTGGGAGATGATGAGTGTTTCTAGTCCCACCCCCCTTTTTCAGTCTCTGTTCATCTCATCGTTGGGCTGCTCTCATTTGATTGCATCATGTTGAACAGAAATATAATTCTGTGTTTGGTCTCAGTTTTCCCAGCTGCAGAAATACAAAATAAGTCAATTCTCTCCTACAAACCACCCTTTCGATTGTTGACAGTAACCATTTTGTTTCCTCAAAGTCTCCAGGTAGGAAGTGAAATAATAATCCTGTTTCCCTTAGCTGTATGACATGGTCTTTGGGCCCCTTGTCTTGCTGACCCCTTGTTTAGGGTATGCTTTAGCTTAACTAAAATAAAAATGAGTGTACTACTAGGGGTTGTGGTTGGACTAGCACAAAAATATTGGGAGCAGTGATATTATGTAAATAAAACGTAATCCCATAATTAGAATTATGTACTTGCCTAACCACATCCTAAGAATTCATTAGCTTTTAAAACAACCTTGTCATGCACCTGGCTTTTATTGAATATACTAGAGGTCCAGTGCACAAAATTCATGCACAGGGGGTGAGGGTGTCCCTCAGTCCAGCCTGCACCCTCTCCAATCTGGGATCCCTCTCACAATCCAGGACTACTGGCTCCCAACTGCTCGCCTGCTTGCCTTCCTGATTGCCCCTAACCGCTTCTGCCTGCCAACCTGATCACCCTCTAACCACTCCCCTGCCAGCCTGATTGGTGCCTAACTGCTCCCCTGCCAGCCTATTTGCCCCTAACTGCCGTCCCCTGCAGCCCTGGTCACCCCTAACTGCCCTCCCCTGCAGGCTTAATCGCCCCCAACTGCCCTCCCTTGCAGGCCTGGTCCCTCCCAACTGCCCTCCCCTGCTGGCCATCTTGTGGCAGCCATCTTGTGTCCACATGGGGGCAGCCATCTTTGACCACTTGGGGGCATCCATCTTGTGTGTTGGAGTACTGGTCAATTTGCATATTACTTTTTTATTAGATAGGATGATATATGATCAACATAATTTAAGGTCAACAAAAATTTCTTTATTTAGCCCTGGCCATGTTGCTCAGTGTCAACCCATGCCCCAAAGGGTCTCGGGTTCGATTCCTGATCAAAGGCACATACCTGGTTGCAGGGTCGATCCCCAACCCTGTGTTGGGGCACATGTGAGTGTCAACCAATCAAGTTTCTTTCTGTCTTTCTTTCTGGTTCTCTCTCTCTCTGCCTCCTACCCTCCTTTCCACTAGCTCTAAAAATCAATGAAAAAAATACCATCAAGTTTTTATTTTTTATTTTTAGTGCTGCAATATTTATTCTCACTTCCATCATTTTTTCCATTGTTTTTTAAAATAAATTGGTACACCCCCCTCTACACATACTCCATACATAGCATCTTATTCCACAATAAAAGATTAGCTAATGTGGGCCTTGGAAAGATTGAACTTGAGAAAGAGATGTGGTCTGAACTTGAATGAAAAAGAGGCTGCTGGATAGAAAAGATGAAAGGACCGTAGGGGAGTAGAATATATCAAGGAAAATCAGATCATCATTCTCTGTAATGCCTGATAAAAGAATATACTCAGGTTTTAAAACTCTGCCTTCAAGCACAACCCAAAGTCACTTTCCTAATTTTCTTTCCTGTAGCCATAGATGGAAGGTGTTGTTGTTGTTGTTGTTGTTGTTTTAATATTTTTTAAATATATTTTATTGATTTTTCACAGAGAGGGAGAGAGAGGGATAGAGAGATAGAAACATCGATGAGAGAGAATCATCGATCAGCTGCCTCTTGCATACCCCCCCACTGGGATGTGCCCGCAGCCAAGGTACATGCCCTTGACCGGAATCTAACCTGGGACCTTTTAGTCCATAGGCTGATGTTCTATCCACTGAGCCAAACCAGTTTCGGCATGTTGTTGTTTTTTTTTTGTTTGTTTGTTTTTTAACTAGATAGGGACATAAGGGAAATTAGTACAAAAAAATTAAGATAGAAAAAAAAATCAGCCGGGACCGGTTTGGCTCAATGGATAGAGCGTAGGCTTGGGGACTGAAGGGTCCCAGGTTCGATTCCGGTCAAGGGCATGTACCTTGGTTGCAGGCATATCCCCAGTAGGGGGTGTGCAAGAGGCAGCTGATCGATGACTCTCTCTCATCGATGTTTCTAACTCTCTATATCTCTCCGTTCCTCTCTGTACAAAAATCAATAAAATATATTTTAAAAAAAAAAAAAAAAGGAAAAAAAATCAGGTTTCCAAAACACGAGGTGGTGTGAGTGGCCAACAGCTTGTCTCCACTTGTTCTCTGACTTTTCACGGCCTCAGGTGTGCCTGACGCTGACAGCCCAGCGCATGGCCAAGAAGAACTGCCTGGTGAAGAACCTGGAGGCGGTGGAGACGCTGGGCTCCACCTCCACCATCTGCTCTGACAAGACGGGCACCCTCACCCAGAACCGCATGACCGTCGCCCACTTATGGTTCGATAAGACCATCTATGAGTCGGAGACAAGTGAAGAACGGCTTGGTGACTAGTGGCATCAGGGGGGCCAAAAGAGGAAGGGTTTGGGGGAATGTGATGAGTGAGCTGAGAGGGAGTGGAGAGTGCGGACAAAGGAAAGACAGCTGGAAGGGAGTGAGAGAAGGAAGGCTCAGAGGAAAGTGTCTCATGAAGTTGTGGGCTAGAGACAGGATGGAAATAGCGCCCAGCTCTAACTCCCTCTCCCTGGTTCACGGTCTGTTCTTCCTCCCCAGAGCATGTGTTTGACAAGAACTCTGACACTTGGCCCATACTGGCCCGAGTCGCTGGCCTCTGCAACCGGGCTGACTTCAAGGCCAACCAGGAGGACGTTCCGATAGCTAAGGTGTCAAGCCCAAGGGGCAGAGGGTGCCTCAGTGTCCAGGGTATAACCCACCTCTCCCTCTCCCCACAAAAGATCTCTTTCCTGGCTCTCAGGGATTCCCCTGGCACCCCCTCCCCTCTCAGCCCCTCTCCTTGTCCCGGACTTATATACAAAACCCCCTTCTGGCAGCGGACAACGGCAGGGGACGCTTCTGAGTCGGCCCTCCTCAAGTTCATCGAGCAGTACTACTGCCCCGTGAAGGAGATGAGAGAGAAAAGCCCCAAGGTGGCAGAGATCCCCTTTAATTCTACCAACAAGTACCAGGTACAGGCCGACGAAGGTGGGAGAATGATTGGCGGGGAGGGGGAACAAGGGTGGGGTCGAGGAGTGGAGAGGGGTATCTTTTAGGGAAGCAGGAGTTTCGTCTTTCACCTCTCCTCTGAGCAGTAGGACAGAGAGGGCAGACACCCCGCATCCCAACTAGGAAGAAGCTCCCCTCAAGGAGAAGTAAGGGAGCAGCAGGCGATGGAAGGGAGAGGGGCTGAGCCCTAAGCTGAGTTGGAGACCCCACTACCTGTGGGAAGAGCGAGTCATCAAAGGCTCTCTGAAGGCTGGGCAGTGGGCATCACGTGACAGCCCTGCAGCTGTCCGGAGGCATCTCTGTGACGGCTGGCCGGCTGCCGGGCTAGCCAGCAGAATAGGCTGGCTTACCAGACGCTCCCCATAGGCGCCAGATTTCATTAGTCATCTTTTTTTTTCATTCCCTGCCTGCAGTTCTAGCGGCTGCTGGCAGGTAAGCGATCAGGGGTCCCCAGCGTGTTTGTGAGCTTCATTTCCCAGGAGCACTTTCTCCGCCACCCAGGGAGGAGTGGCGGGCGAGGGAGGAGGAGGGCCAGGGAGGGACGCTGGTGGCATTAACAGTACACTCCATGGGAGGAAAGGGAAACCCAGTATTTATTCTATTTTTTTAATTAAAAAATTGTATTTACTTAGAAACATTCAGAATGTCAACAAAACTGCTGCAATTTTTAAAAATATATATATTTTATTGATTTCTCACAGAGAGGAAGGGAGAGGGATAGAGAGCTAGAAACATGGGTGAGAGAGAATCATCGACCAGCTGCCTCCTGCACACTCCTTATCAGGGATGTACCCGCAACCAATGTACATGCCCTTGATGGAAATCAAACCTGTGACCCTTCAGTCCGCAGACCGACGCTCTATCCACTGAGCCAAACCAGTTTCGGCTGCAACGTTTTTTGCAATTACAGAGTGGTATTCAGTTAACAGGACAGCAATTATTTCGTATAAGCTGCGTCAGAGACAAGTGAAGATGGCAAAACTACCATTCCCATAGATTCCCTGTTTCCTCAAAAAAAAGACAGTGTCTTATATTAATTTTTTCTCTTGTGCCCTAGGTCTTATTTTCAGGGGATGTCTTATCTTTCCATGTGCTAGGTCTTATTTTCGGAGTATGTCTTATTTTCGGGGAAACACGGTATCTAGTTTGTGCTGGGCACCAACAAGAACTGCTTTAAGTTTCCATGCCAATGTACAGCCCCCAGACTGTGCCAGGAAAGATTAGCGGCTATTGGAAATACCACCAGGACCGGGCTAGCTACAGACACATTCGCTAGTGTTAACTATACAAAAAAAAAAAAAAAAAAGACACTGTACAGTTTAAAAACAAATCTTACACAGCCTTGCATTTCAATTCTTTTCTTTAAAAGGAGTGAGTTGTGTACAGGGGGGTTAACTGCTTTATAGACAAGAAAAAAAACTGCGCTAGAACCAACTTATTCATCATCTTCATCTTCATCATCATCTTCATCCTCTTCTTCCTCCCCATCATCTTCCTTGTCTTCTTCCTCTTCCTTCTTTTTCTGGCTTTTTTCAGCCTTGACAGCTCCCTTTTTGGCAGCATCAGGCTTTCTGTTAGCTCGGTAGGAAGCGATATCCTTTTCCTATTTCTCCTTCCGCTCAGCACCCTCCTTTCCATAAGGCCGCTTGTCATCAGCAGCAGCTTGAGTCCACATCTCTCCCAGCTTCTTTGCAACGTCACCCATGGATGGGCCAGGACGCCCTCCTCTGATTTTTGAGCGAGAATCAGAACAGAACAAGAAAAAGGCCGAAGGAGGCCTCTCGGGTGCCTTGGGATCCTGGAATTCCTTTATTGTTTCCCCTTTAGGAGGAATATACGTTTTCATTTCTCTCCCATAACGAGCCTTGTCCGCCTTTGCCATGTCTTCAAATTTCCCTTTCTCCTTAGTAGACACGGTCTTCCGCCTCTCTGAGCACTTCTTAGGAAACTCGGAGAAGTTGACTGAAGCATCTGGGTGCTGCTTCTTGTGCTCCTCCCGGCAGGTTTGCACAGAGAAAGCAGACGATGCCATTTTGCCTCTTGGCTTCTGAGGGTCTCCTGTGCCCAGGTTTAATTCCTTCCCCCCAGCGAGCACAGTCACCCAGTGCCCGGCGCTGTCTCTGTGGAGCTCAATGTACTGCCGAAACCCAGCATTTCTTTCCCACGTTGGAATCCTGGCACATTTTGAAGTGTGGAGGGCTGGGAGTGCTGGCACTGCCATGATGGGAACTCTAAGGTTTGTGTTCTGTGGGACAATTTTGATTTGCTCAGGGGTGTGGGGCTCTCCAAGTTCATGCACAACTGTCAAGGTCAGACGTTCAGGTGCAGTAACAGAGTAGAAAGGAGACTCCCAAACGCCAGTTCTGTGTTTGTGTCTTAAAATGCACCTGATTGTCAATAGCCAAGTTATGAAAGAAACCCAAAGGCCATTAGTGGACGACTGGAAAAAACATTGGAATTTTTAAAAATGTGGTGACACATGTATATATTGAAGTCTTACCATTTGTGACAGCATGGATGGACCTAGAGGGTATTATGTTAAGTGAAATAAGTCAGTCAGAGAAAGACAAATACCATGTGATCTCACTTACATTTGGAATCTAACAAATAAAATAAAATGGAAGCAGACCGATGGTTACCAGAGGAGAGGGGACTTAGGGGGCTGAGTGAAAAAGGTGAAGGATTAAGAAATACATTGAGCTGAAACTGGTTTGGCTCAGTGGATAGAGCGTCGGCCTGTGGACGGAAAGGTCCCAGGTTCGATTCCAGTTGGTGATTCTCTCTCATCATTGATGTTTCTCCCTCTCTCTCCCTCTCATCTCTGAAATCAATAAAAATATGTTTTTTAAAAAGAGTATAGGATTGTCTAACCACTACACTATATACATGAAACTGATAACAAATAATAATTTTTAATAAATCTTTATTCAAATTATGACAATTGTTTCTCCTTTCCCCCTCCCCCAAATAATAATTTTTAAAATAATAAAACTAAGAGCAGAAATTCATGTATAAACATTTTTAAACCATAAGAAAATATTTTCTTAAAAAAAAACACAAAACACATGGAATAGTGCTGGTGCCCACAGAGCATATGCTAAAATTGGAACAATACAGAGAAGATTAGCGTGCCCCCCCATAACATGCAGATTTCCTCAACGTTCCATATTTTTATATTTGCAGGTTGCTTAAGAGGGTAGATCTTAAAGGTTTTCATCACAAAAAATATTCATAAAAATATTCATAAAAATATTCATATCCAAAAATAATAAAATAAAAAAAGCTAGATAGATTTCTAAAAGCCCAATTATTTTCACATTGAACACCGAACAAGTAAGAGTTAAAGAACTAGATCCATCGGGGGGTGTGTGTGTGTGTGTGTGTGTGTGTTTTGTCTCAACTGGCTTTTAGTCGGTGTAATAAGATAGGTCTTTTAGACTCAAACTGCAAACTTATTCCCACTTTTTTTCCTGACATTTAGTGGCCTCACTAACCAGACAGGAATTTTTGCTAGACAGGCCTGATTAGAGCCTTTGACCGGAAAGAATTAGGTGCCTCTCCCTCTATATGATTCAGAATAAAAGCAAAACACAGCCACGTTTGTCGGAATGTCCAACAAAACAGCCGCGCTGCCCAAAGTGACGACGTTTGTGCTTTCACTGAGCTATTGAACATCAAACAGCAAAACCCTCCGCTGGTGGCCGTGAGCTCAGCCAGCCGCCAGCACCCAGCTCTGCGGGCTTGGCAGGGGCTGCTTGCCGGAGGCCCCGGGAAACCCTCTGGCGTGGTTCACACCCTGCAGACCACCGCCTTCACTGGCCTGCATTCAGGGTAGTTAGAGGCTCCGGTTTGCAAGGTCTTTCTTAGCCTGCGGTCCCTTTCCCTCCCTGAGATGGACGTGAAAGAAAAAAGGTTCTCTGTTCTCATGTTTCCAGATGATTTCCCCCATAGTTTCATGTGCAATTTCTATCAAGATGTGATTTTTCTGTGACCAAGTTAACCGCTAATGTAGGCCTTGCTGTCATCCCCAGTAATCACCAATAAATAGTCTACACAGATGTGTTCAGCACTCAGAAAGTTAAGCTTTATGAAAAATATATTTTTTTATTGATTTTTTATGGAGAGGAAGGAAGAGGGATAGAGAGCTAGAAACATCGACCAGCTGCCTCCTGCACACCCTCCACCGGAGATGTGCCTACAACCAAGGTCCATGCCCTTGACCGGAATCGAACCTGGGACCCTTCAGTCCGCAGACCGACGCTCTATCCACTGAGCCAAACCGGTTTCGGCAGAAAGTTAAGCTTTTTAAACCTTCGCTGCTTCTGCTTAAATAAGTTCAGGTGTTTCAACTGCTCAAGCAGTTTTTTGAAAGTTGGAAGGACCAACTTTGACCAGGTTGCACACACCAGCCTCCCCACTTCCTTACCCTCCGGGCAGTGCCGTCTGGCCTCTGCACCAGCTCGTGTCCTACCCACATGCTAATTCCCCTCCCAATAGCCCGTGGACCAGGAATTTCCTGTGGATCCTAAGAGGAGCCCACAGAGAGTTCCTTTCCACAGGTCAGAGATGGTGGGGAAATGCAAAACCAAAGCTGACTTAATTTCTGTCTCCTCTGGTGTGTTGTTCCTCGGGTTTCCTCCATGGATATGCCCCTCTCTCCCCCCACTAGCCACACTGGCCCTGACCCTCACATTCGACAGCCCCCACGGACCACCCACACCATCCAGCCCCTCTCAGGGGACTTTCTCGTGATTTTAGGAGGGTGTGGAGAGGGGGCTAGAATGAGTAACCTATTTTTAAACTGTGTTTCACAGTTTTTAAAGGGTTTTTTTTTTCTTCAAATATTATCTATCATACAAACTCAATGAAGTACGCACTGCCAGTCCTTTTGCATTTCATCAAAAAGCACTACGGTTTTGAGAAGTCAAATGGGTTGACGTGAGGCCATGAGGCATTCAGGCTCAGGACACAGGTCTTTGGGCTCTAAGCTCTCTCTCCCGCCCTCTCTGCGGTGCTTGCCAGCCCACCACTTCTCTCCAAGCAGAGCAGAGGCAGGGAAAGTGAGGCACTGGCTTCGGCCCGCAGCCTCTAGTGAGGCTGAGAAGACAGAGGTTCGTATGCAAACAATCCCAGCCGGAGGCTCCGGGACAGGGCGGGTGGGCTGGCCGGGCCTGTGTGGAGGAAGGGCTGCGGGGTTCTGGCACAAAGGAAATGGAGGTATAACATTGGTTGCCTGTTTCACCTTCAAAAACCTTTCCCTTGCCCTGGCTGATTTGGCTCAGTGGATAGCGCGTCGGCCTGCAGACTGAAAGATCCCGGGTTCGATTCCCATCAGGGGCACGTACCTTGGTTGCAGGACATCCCCGGTGAGGAGGTGTGCAGGAGGCGGCTGATTGATGTTTCTCTCTCATTGATGTTTCTAACTCTTTCTCTCCCTTCCTCTCTGTAAAAAAAAAAAAAAAAAAAAAAAAAAAAAAATCAATAAAATAGCCGAAACCGGTTTGGCTCACTAGATAGAGCGTTGGCCTGCGGACTGAAGGGTCCCAGGTTCGATTCCGGTCAAGAGCATGTACCTTAGTTGCAGGCACATCCCCAGTAGGAGGTATGCAGGAGGCAGCTGATCGATGTTTCTATCTCATCGATGTTTCTATCTCCCTTCCTCTCTGTACAAAATCAATAAAATATATATTTTTTAAAAACAACCTTCCCCTTGCCCCACCCCTGCTCTGCTGTTCCACCAGTGCTTCCCCTCCTCTCCCTAGATGTCCATCCACCTGCGGGAAGACAGTTCCCAGGCCCACGTGCTGCTGATGAAGGGGGCTCCGGAGAAGATCCTGGAGTTCTGCTCTACTTACCTTCTGTTGGGGCAGGAGTACCCCCTGGACAATGAAATGAAGGAAGCCTTCCATAACGCCTACCTGGACCTGGGAGGTCTGGGGGAGCGTGTGCTAGGTGAGGGGCTGGGGAGAAGACCCTCGCAAGAACAGCATCAGAGTGGTTCTGGGTGGTGGGGCGAAAAACATCGAGGCTGTTGGGGTGAGCAGGGTGGGGACGCACATCAAGAATGACTGCTGGTGCCTTCTGGCCCTCTCCAGGGTTCTGCTACCTGAACCTGCCTAACACGTTCTCCAAGGGGTTCAAGTTCAACACGGATGAAATCAACTTCCCCATGACCAACCTCTGCTTCGTGGGGCTCATATCCATGATCGACCCTCCCCGGGCTGCCGTGCCCGACGCCGTGAGCAAGTGTCGCAGCGCGGGCATTAAGGTGAGGCTGGGGCACGCCAGGGGCCGCTCCTGTGCCAGAGCAGGGAAAAGCCTTGTGTAGAGTTGGTTCTTAATAACACTGCTTTCATCAATTTCTGTTTCCTTCCGCTTAGAAATGTTTTCGTCTTAAGAGCCTGAGAGTAAATGTCCTACTTTTTTTTAATTTCTCTATTGATTAGGGTATTAAATATGTGTTCTCATTCCTCCATGTATCCCCAACCCCCCCACTCATGCCCTCACCCCTGGTGTCTGTGTCCATTGGTCACGCTTATATGTATGCAATACAAGTCCTTTGGTTGATCTTTCCCCCTTACCCTCACCCTCCCCTACCTTCCCTCTGAGGTTTGACGGTCCGATGAATACTTCTCTGTCTCTGGATCTGTTTTTGTTCCTCAGTTAATGTTGTTCATTATATTCCACAAATGAGTGAGATCATGTGATATTTTTCTTTCTCTGACTGGCTTACTTCGCTTAGCATAATGCTCTCCAGTTCTATCCATGCTGTTGCAAATGGTAAGAATTCCTTCTTTTTTACAGCAGTGTAGTATTCCATTGTGTAGATGTACCATAGTTTTCTAATCCACTCATCTGCTGATGGGCACTTAAGGCTGTTTCCAAATCTTAGCTATGAACATGGGGGTGCATATATCCTTTCTGACTGGTGTTTCTAGGTTTTTGGGATATATTCCTAGAAGTGGGATTACTGGGTCAAATGGGAGTTCTATTTTTAGGTTTTTGAGGAAACTCCATACTGTTCTCCACAGTGGCTGAACTAAATGCCCTCTATTGTTAGACTCCTGTCTTTTGTGGAACATTACAATCATCAAGAGAACTTTAAAAACCTGGTGCCCAGGTCACATCCCAGACCCACTGCATTAGAAACTCTCAGGGTGAGACCCGGGCATCTGCATTTTTATAAACTCTCCCAGAGAGTCCAATAGGCCGAAAAGCTTG